CAGCTGGAGACCAGTTGGAGAATGTGGCTGTTTCCAGCCGGGATTTTAAACTGGGGGGCGACACAATATTTTTCATTATCGTTCACAACAGTCACAGGTCGAACAACCGACACGAAAATGCTCCATCGGAGAAAGTCCAACCAAAACGGACTCGATCCAGCCAAACCGGACACGATCCAGCCAAAACGGACTCGATCCAGCCTCGAACCGGTCGAAATCCGCCCGAAGCTCCCGGCAAGTTTTCGCACCACTCGACGGGAGGCTCACCGCACGTCCGACCACCTCCCATCCAGAAACTCACCGGGGGGACTCAAGACGAACACCTCCGACCTCCTTCCGCAACTCCCTCCGCACCTAAGCAAAACAACCTCCATGCACACCCAAGTCTTCCCTCCCGCGCGCGATCCGAGTCTCCCGCGCGCGGGAAATAAATCCTCACCCTCTCGTCCGTTTTCCCCTCTCTGCTGTGTTGCATCCCCCTCGCACCGTCCCGTACCTTCCGTCCTCGCCCCTGGCATCTGGTCACACGTCCTCAGCCGGTCAATGCAGATCCCCAGTAACAGGACGTCCGAAAATTTGAATCATCAACTCAGACGAATGAATCGGGACAATTTTTTTTTTAATTAAAATCCTTCATCCAAACACTATGGCGCACTTCACCGAGATTCTCGGTCGTACGACGCTGAAATGCACATCACTGAGTCGCAAACTCAATTTCTCGGTCGCCCTGTTCATTCAATTCATTATCATCCTGGAATTCTTACGATATAACAGAGGATGCGACGGCGGGGTCGACCCTTCCTCGCCGCGACCATCGCTGCGACCGTCGCCGCGACCCTCCTCCGCGTTCAGAGACTCGTAGACGTTCTCCTTCGTCCATTCCGTCGCCTCCTCCTCCATCTTCTCCCTTCTCGCGTCTGCAGGGCGACGAGGGAGCCCTCAGCCAAAAATTTTGGCATCGTGTGAGGGTGAAAAAGACTTGGAAAATGTTGAATTCTCGGTTTCAAAAGGTTCATGCATGCCACGCTTGAAAATATGCTTTTAACCTCAGATGTGCTCAGACCGCGTTTCCACACCGATGCCAGCACGAAAGCTACGGGAAAGCCGAAAATAGCCATACTTCCACCCTGCGCCAAATTCCGAGGCACTCCTCTTGCAATATTCATTATTTACGCTCGAGTCCAACCTCATCTCGAGAGTCTGCACACATGCAGGGACGAAGAATCATAAATACCGAAGCATCGAGGAAACGCACTCCTGTACGCGATTCGCATCCCTCGCTCCTTCCACATATCGACTTGGACAAGCAACCCCGCCCTCATCTCCGTGGCACCTGGAATCGCTACGTTCGCGCCCGGACCATCGCAAACGCATCGGCATCCCCTGCCTCGCTCGACCGGAATACGAAGCGTTCACGGAGAAAGTCGGAATGCACGAACCCGTGCGTCTCGCAGAAAACTCCGGATCCGGCGACGACCTCCTCCCCTTCCGCCCTCCACCTCCCCTCCACCTGTGCACGACCACATCTCACCATCCTCGAAGAACCGACCGACCTCCACTCGCCCCGCTCACCTGACGCACGCGACGACGAGGACGACCCCGACCACCGAGACGGCCACGCCCCCGGCCACCGCCGGCATCTTCCAGTTCCATCGGGTCTCTCCCTTCGACTCCCTTCGAGTTTCTTCCATGGAAATGAAACGATTCCAGTTTTTCAAGCGTTCGCTCTTTGGTAGAATGTAATTATTGATATCTAAGGCATCATAATTTTATCGTGAATATATCATACTGTGGTGAGATTCTTGCCATAAATGATATCAAATAAATATTCGAGGATATATGTTATCGATGTCAGCACGATTGTCTCTCCAAATCAAAATTTTCACACACGAAAATTTCCTTTTCCACGTTTTTGCCTTGGTTCGGTCGTGACATCGTACAAACATCGCCCGATCACAAAACGGACCTCACGCATGCACCAAATCGAAGTCATGAACCCCTCCGACACCCAAAAAATCATTTCTCGTCGCCAACGCATCAAAACCAGAAGCAAGCGAGCAACCCACCTCGAACCTCCACGACGAATTTGACGACGTCCCCCGCCCGTCCCTGATGGCACTCATAAACCCCGGCGTCCTCGACCGTGAGACCCACGAGTCGCAGCGTGGCGTTCACCCGGTCCCCGACCTCCGACCACGTGACCTCCGACCTCGTGACCTCCGACCACGTGACCTCGCCCTCGACCTCCGACCTCGCCGGGACCTCTCCCCCGTCCTTCCTCCAGCGGACGTCCCCGGCATCATCCCCCTCCACGGAGCAGGTCAGTGTGAGGGTCGTCCCTTCCTCGAGGATCTTCGTCTGTGGGGATTCCTTCGCCTTCACCTCGACTGTTGGAACAGAATTTTTTTTTTTTCATTTTGAGTTCGGCCGACGAAAAAGCTTCGTTTTCTCCTCGACAGATGTGGCGGTTCAATGGTTTGGGACATCGAGAGGCGTTTCTGCGCGTTTTCCCATCGCGAGTCGAGAATTACTTATATTCAAATTTTTCCCAATCGGAATGGGCTACAATCCAAAACCGGAACAAAATATTTATCTGATATATGATAAGGCATGGGTTACAACCGGAGAAGCAAGTATACCATAACTCAGGGAGAATGGCAGGGTTGCTGGATCCTGGTGACCTTGTCGAGGCGAAATAAGCCCCCCCTCCCTCCACTTTCACCTTGTACTACATTGTGTGCTTTACGTTGGGAGTGTCCCCTTTCTTCGAGGGAGTGCATGCATGGATTTCCAACAAACCGAAACAAAAGTGAGGACTGCATCATAAACCAATATCATAAGTACAGAAGTACCCATGCAGGCAGAAAGAAACTGGTGAAGGAAAAGTCAAAATGAATTTGGAAGAAACTCAAATGACAGTTACATCTTCGTACGAATTTCATTATTACTCAACCCTGGACTCGCGTG